TTGACTTTTGAACCCAGCGAGTGACAGTTGTATACCATTACCCAAATTCGATGGAGTTCAGTGCGAGAATAAACTTGGGAAAGCCAGTGCGACTTTTAGACCTTAGTGAGTGACATTTTTAAAATTTAATAATTTTCACTGACTGCATTTCAATTAATTTTATACAAAACATTTCGGTCAACTGGAAAATGTAAATTCAAATTTAAACAAGATGATAATAATATTATAGATTTTAGATTATAATTTTTAATAACGTCAGTAAAGTTTTTATTATCTTGTACAGTTTTCACTTGTTGGCATTGACAATACTTAGTTTTCGGTTTTCAATAAGATAGACATCACTACTGACCTAGTTTTAAATACTTGTTAGACTGCTTTGGTTCTAGTTTTTATATGAATAGTGTGTTTTGAAGCATAAAATTGATACCAGTAATGGGTTCACAGACACTTCTCATAAAACCATAAGTAGGGCAGGGCGGCAATGTCATAAAAGATCAATCCTCACTAACTTCAAGAGCTCCATCATAAAACTAATTTTACAGTAACACTTGTTGTACAGCAATGTTTTAGTGGATTGCATCAGATGATCAGAGTGATTTACAGTCACCTAGCACATGCCATTGCCATTGAGGAAGATGATCCAAAGATACATCAATTGATGATAAAATACTGACAGATTCAATCTCTCACTAAATTGTGTTCAATGGTATGTCAAGCAAAAGTTGCCATAATTTAATGGTGTGGGTGTAAATAAAAGTATAAGCTGCACCGATTGAAGAGCTGGTGAAGACGACTAAAGTCAAGAACGTAGCACAAACTCAACTATGAGGTAATCCTGAACAACAACATTTATACATGTTGCACATGTTCAGAAGTTAATTTGCCCAAAAGTTTTTTAAGAGTTTACAACTGCTGTTCTCATTGGTTTTGATTGCCAGGAGGTGAAATTGCCTGGATATTTGCTCGTGAGAATAGGATAAAATATTAGGATGTTCACGCTATGCATTTGTAAACATTTGAAAAATGAATTTGCAAACAAACAAATATCATAAATATACCTCGCGTCATTGTACATATCATGCATTAGTTAATTTAGCTTAACCATGGTAACTGACTTGGTAAACATGGATTAAGAAACACTAATACATTCATTTTTAACTCGTACATTGTCTTTAATAATTTAGCTGAGGTAGCGTTTTTTATAAACTGGCGATATTTTGGTGGGTTATACAGACTTGAATGTAGATAATGTAAATCATTAAATTTTCATCACTGTCAATTTTCTTGACATGACAAATCAGAACAGCTTTTTTAAGACTTCTTTAAATCTTGCTGTCTTAAAGGTCCAAAGTGAAATGTTCACTGCGACAAACTTGTCAACAAAATACAATAAGTGATTTTTAGGACAAAAAATGTCAGTTGTTTTTAGACAGACACACGAAAGCCTTTCTTCTTCTTTGGCAAGTGTAGAAAGCAGAATCACTGAGACTGATTAGATGTAGTGTGATTATATTGTACTTCACAGCTGAACTCTGTTCATAGAGCATTGAGGTCTTGGAAAATGTTAACCATATTTGATGGTCTGAATATAAGCCAATTGTGGGTAATATATAATAGTCAAATTTCAATACTATTTGGCACATTTGAAGCTAGTGTTCATTTTGGTTTTTCATCCCAACACACATTGAATGACAAAAAATTGTTTCTGTTACTACCAGATGCAGTAATTCGAATCGCAGAATCCTGAAGAATTCTCATTCTCCCTCAATGCATGCATACCCAGACCATCAAATATTTTATATAATATAAATATGCCAAAACTTAATTAAACCCTATAGATGCTTTGGGAGTACAACATTTTACAGAGTCAGTCTTCACTCTGCATAGTGTTTAAAGTGGGGGAGTCGTCACTTGCGCATGCGTCAGATGGCCATAGCGCGTCATTGTTCACAAACAAGCGTCTACATGTGTTGTTATCGTCACTTGGGACTCAATTCCCATGTGTGCGCAGGTTGACGACTTCTGCTTTAATACAAGTCCCATACAGTAAACACAAGTTTTTCAGAATGTCTAAGTTAATGATTACTTTACATCAATGTGTGACATAATTCTTTTCTTAGTCTACTCAGTTGGTATAACACACTGCACATACAGTGGGCATTCAAACAGGGTAACTATGGTTTTCAAAATTCAGTGATCCTGAAAGTGATTGCTCATTTCAATGATTTTTTTTAAACTGGGTTAACTCAGAAAACCATTTAAGCTCTGTTGCAACTGTATGCAGTTGGATTGGTCAGAATTGGTTCTAATTTATGCAATGAGTAATAATGCGTTCATATTCTTTTTCCAGATTACAACATCAACATGGTGTTTTATGATTCTGCTGTCACAAAAGTTAATTCATGCTGTTAATAGCAACAATCATCGTTTTATGGAATCCACACACATAGCACTATTTATACCAAGACAGACAAACAGATGCCAACACATCCAGAGGTGGATGAAGCTCTGAATGTAATCAATCAAGTTATTTTATAACTAATTCCTATATTTGGGGGCACTCTGCTTCCAGATTTCAAAGTAAGGCACGACCAGCAATCCAATAGCCTTGAACACCTGCTTCTTAAAATGCAAGGAATGTAATTCGTCCTTCAGAATCCAATGAGATTACTAGGTTAATAATGTGCCAGCAAGCCTCATTCTGGATTCAGGAAGTAGAGCACCCTCAACATAGAAAACTACAAACAATGATTACAATCCTCACAGTAGGAAATACAGCTAATTATTAGTACAACACAGCATAACCCCCATTCCAAGCAGTTTTGGAATACCCCCATCATTCAGGCTCGATGGGTCATTCCACTATGGAGGAATTAGGGGTGTCAGGGTAAACACACATCAAAATGTTAGATATAAAAACGGTAATTTTTTTTTTTAAGGATTATTTATGATTATGGAAATATTAATGAGACTTGGTAACTGACTAGAACTGACAACTGATACACATGGGGAGATTGTGATTAGTGCATGAATGAAATGAAACAAGCAAGGAAAGGAGGGAAGTGACAACAAACATGCAAAGTAATGCATAATCCATGCAGGAACTAGCAAACCAATAATGCAAAGCGCTGACAGCTTCAGGCAAAGTAGTAACAGACAAATAGAATCAAGAAAACCATACAAGAAAAGTTGTGAATCTCAGATTAGAAGTCACTGTAATCAGATCACCATAGACGTTTCAAGATAGAAGAAAGCTGTGTGTGTACATGTAAGTGCAAGAAAAATAGACATGCAGAAAAAACGAACCCAGAAGCAAAAGATAGAGGGTATGGAAACATTCCGAACTGAGTCACTTTTATTCAACAAAAGGATATAAATTACATATACACTGCACACAAAATAGAGGAAGGGGGAGGAGAAGATCATGGGGGAGACGGGGAGCAATAGCATGGAGACGCAAAAGCATTACAGGTATATAGAGCAGTGATTGATTCTGGTAAGATGGGATGGAGCATATGGTATGGTGGCAATATGGACAAGGGAGGAATGATGTTTCAACAACTTGGTAAAGGATAAAAAGAACAAAAGGTTGGTGTTTTTTTTACAATACTGAACTGACTTCAGTGTATCAAATGGAAAAAAACAGATACAATGAATGCAGAAACTCATAGATTATACAGAGGAGAAAAGAAATAGCAAGCAACCAATTAAAAATAAAAGTCAAACTACACGAGTTGTCGAATCCAACTAACCCTGACTACATGCCTAAGAAAGCCAAATTTGCCACCAAAAGCTTTTTTTTTTTATGTTTTGCTTACTATGTTTTATTTTAACTTAGGCAGCCTAGTTTAGTGACCTATGACCTTATTCTAATAAAGAGAGAATTCCATCACTGTACAATAGGTAACAACACTGAATCACATGTAATAATCTCTTGAACTTTGAACTGTCAACTTTGAACTCTCAATGCAGAACTGCTTTTCTGTACACATTTTAAGACTTACATGTGGCACAAGTTACCTTGAATGACCCCTTGAACTGTGACCTCTAAACATGAAATGAATTGTTATTTTTTATACACCATGTTGCAAACGCTATTTTCCTTGGGTCCCCATTTGTGTCATTATGGTAGTTTCAATAATTGATCATTTACACCGAGAGGTCAGGGGTCAAGTTTTACCGTCAATTATGTTACAGTACACTTTAAAGATGTAATTAGATTATAGTGGAATGGGACGACTCCAGGAAGAAGTTAAAAGACATTTCACACTTCAAACAACACAAGTCAGGAGACTGAGTAAGAATACCCTCCCCAGATTTTTTCCCATTTTTTCACTTTTTTTTTGTTAAGATGTTACACTTGATTAGGCAAGTAAGTAGTGTTATCCGCCAGCAAGCGTCAGACTGAGACCAAAATACTGGAAATATTGTTCATATGACAATGTCCTACCACCCACAGTACCTGGCTATTCAAGTGTTCCATCTTAGCCCTGATATGGTCAAAAAAAAACAAAAAAAAACATCACAACAAAAGCACTGAGAAGACAGCAGTAATAAAAAGCTGTAAGTCCAAGCAGAAAGTAGACATAATTCAAAGATGCATTTAGAAATGACCCTGTACATAGATATAATAAGATGGGGACTTCGAGGGACTGAGAATCGGCTTCAGGGTGAGCCAGCACCCCTCAATAAGGTTGTACAGGGGAATTGTATTGCATGAAACGAATTGTCTAGTACTTTCTGCTCAGTATCAAGAAAGTGCAACAAGCGGGTTATTAGCTAGTATCTCCGGTATGAAGGCGTGTACGAGCTACCCGTTGATGACCGATACGAACTAGTAGAACTAGGTCTAGAATAGCTAGAAGTGCCGCTGCCGTATGAAGTGCCGGAGAGTCGACTAGAAGTTGCTGTACTCGGAGTAGTACTAGAATACCGTGGAGTGTAACCACTAGAAGGTCGTGATCTCACCTCATCTTCCTCGCGTAGTCTAGAACGACGACTGTAACCACTAGTTTCTCTTTCCTCAGCTCTTTTGTTTGTGTCCTGTGAAAACAAGAATAAAGATTAGCCAAACACAGCAGAGAGAATCAAGTTGTATCTAAACGGGCTCTTATCATCTAAACTCAGTGTAGACTATAGATGTCAATAAATGTACAATATTTGATTTATTTGTAGCATACACGTAAATCAAAATAAGTCACATTTCAGATAAACGCATACAATTTTTGGGTTTATGTGAACTTCTATTATGGTATTTGAAATTTCATCCTTGTTAATTTCTGATACCCAACTTTTAAAAAAGTTTTTTTTGTATGGCAAGTGGGAAGTTGAGACAATGTTGAAGATAATATTGAAACTGGCTATACACAAATATGTTTAATACAAACCAGCTGTTAAACAGATACAAACTAAATAATATGCAAAATAACTAATTAATATACAAACAATTAATTTAAAACGAAAAAGGTTAAGACAACATCGTCCATAGTTGTCTAACCGAAAAAAGTTATTGTAATGTGTTCAAACAAACTGAATAGAATGTTGTCTTGATACAAACAACAACTTAAACCAAATGGATTAATTTAACACCGGGTTTCTACACCATACCAAGTTATTTTGTTTTTATAAATGAAATAATAATCACAAGTTAATGTGTAGATTAGGTATTGTACACACATTAAATGTAAGAACGTATACAATAGTACAACCTATGTAAAGTATGGAGTTTCTTTCCATTGCATCCAATTACTGTTAAAGATATAAATGAAGAAACTTAATTTATCACAAGTCACTTATTACGTTGGGAGGCACTATTATAAGTAAAACTTATCTCTCAGTTAGAATTATTCCCTATACTAAGGCATTGTATTGTATACAAGTACAATATTTTTAACTCCTACGAAATCTCTCTACCGAAGAGCAAATGAGGACTTGGTATGAAATGTTTGCTTTATAGGCCATCATACATGTTCCGTAAATTCTGTGTACGTGCACATGCATCTATATTTGGCACTATCTTCAAGCGGAGCTACGTCACAGAACGTTCCACGTTTCTAAGACATGCACCACAGTACCATGTACTTCTATTGGCTCTGTGCGGGCTCTGCAACAGCTACTGTAGAACGCCACTATAGAAGCCGATGAAAACAGCTCGATGAGGAAACAGCACAAAAAGAACTTCATTGGGGTTTCTGGACTAATACATAGAATATTTGATGGTCTCAATATTCACAAATTATAGAGAGCATATGATGATACATCTGGATTTGCAGTTGTTCAAAACTACTCTGGAAGGCAGTAATTTGAACAGAACTGAATCTTTGTGAATCAATTCACATTTGTGTGAGTTTCCAGTGACTTTATCTGTCATTATGGTAGAGACAGGAGTAAAGCTGTACAATGAACTGTACTTTTAATTTGCTGCTAAAATACAGCTTTTATTTTGCTAGAAACAAAGTTTCATTTGAGGGTCATAGCAACTTTTGCATAATGTCCTCATGAACACCATTAAGTAATGAAACTGTAGAAAATCCTAGCAACCGAAATTAAACCAATACTATAAGGGGAACCAATACTATAAATAAGGGCAAGATGGCCACCGCAATTAGTATGCTAATTCGAACCAAGCCGCTCACATCGTGGCGGGAGCTCCGGCAAATGTGCCATTTACGATGTTTGGAGATCAAGCTGTGATTCCAAATACATTTCTACAGGGGCATGAATAAGTACGTTAGTGATTAAACTCATCTGGTTGGGCTTTTGATGTATAAAAGTTGTTGTTTTCGGTCGAAACCTGCAGTGACAACTAAAAATCCAGAGTTTAAAATGGCCTGTCAATCACAGTTTGAGTAAGCAAGCTTAATAAAAATTAATTTACTTCGTGGACAGAGGCGGAGTTAATTACCCATGAGCATGTGGTGCAATCCATGGGATTGAGCGGTTCCCTTTTAACAGTATATTATCTGACTGGAAGAAAAAAATTAAAGTTATGATCTCACCTCATCTTCCTCGCGTAGTCTAGAGCGACGACTGTAACCAGTAGTTTCTCTTTCCTCGGCTCGTTTGTTTGTGTCCTGTGCAAAAAGACGATTGGAACACAGTATATATCATGTTCAGTTGCCTGCTTCTCCTCTGACAGTTTTAAAAATGTTGTGCATTTTATTGCATTTGAACATCTATTAAATCTCGCAGGGTTGGGTATCAAAGGCCAATTACTTACATTGTTATCATAGCACAAGCAATAACAAAATATACAGGAAAACACTTTATTTTAGTTGGAATTTTTGCTGAAAATACATTTTGGGCGTTTGTATGGAACTTATTCTCAATGATTTTTGGCGAGATAAATGTAAAATGTATGAAAAAAGGCATGTTTGCTGGATTTCATTTTCACTTAATCGTCCCTTCAGCAAAAAAAGAAAAATGAAATCCAAGCGAAAATAAAGTATTTTACTGTAGTACAAGTGATATATACTTGTGCAATGTATAACGTAGTAAAAGCGATAATGTACATATTTCAACATAGCACAAACAATAACGTAGAGAAGATATAAGATACATATATTAAATGACAAAGTAATAAGATAGTACAAGCAATAATTGAGAGATAGTACAAGCAATAACACTACAAGCGATATGTAGTGCCAGCAATAACGCACATTATAACCATCTTTAATTATTCATGAAGTCCTTGAAAACTACAATAATCAAAACTAAATCATAGTTGCAACAATGACATATTGTAAAACACTAAGAAATTAAAAGTTTTAATTTAAATACTGTAACAATAAATTATTTTGATCTATTGCAAATTTTCAATTACTTGGAAGATATCGGTACCAACAATTTCACAAGAACAGACATTTTTTGCTACACTTGAATCAACAGACATACATTTGTAGAGTGAAGCTAAGATAACAAACTTGCAAAACAACACATTTAAAGTATGCAGGAATTCTGAAATACAACATGAATGCCTAATTTATCAACTGTAAATGCAAAGAGACATGTTAATAGCCCTGGAACATGAATGAGATAACTCAGTAGATCCTCCTACCTTGTCTTTTTGTCCAACCAGCGTTTCAGCATTTTCTAAGTCTTCTGCTGTCACCCCCTAGGAAGCAACATTGTACACAATTCACTTTAAGGCATGCAAATATAACATCAGACTTCCTTTAAAATGTTGATAATCAAAACACGTTTTGAATTAACAGATAAGGATGTAGACTCAACAATACTGTCATCTGCACTGACACCTTTTTTCACAGAATGGAATGTATTGAATTGAAAAGCATGTGTGAAGCTAGAGACAAGATGACTGCATGCATGTTATAAGGCATTGACACAATTTAAGACAATGATATAGATAACTATGTTTCCTACAAGCTTTACTTTCACTCTATTCTTATAGCAGCATCTCTAACTGTTCCCTACAAGCCTTACTTTCACTCTATTCTCTTAGCAGCATCTCCAACTGTTCCCTATAAGCCTTACTTTCACTCTACTCTCTTAGCAGCATCTCTAACTGTTCCCCACAAGCCTTAATTTCACTCTACTCTCTTAGCAGCATCTCCAACTGTTCCCCACAAGCCTTACTTTCATTCTATTCTCTTAGCAGCATCACCAATTGTTTCCTACAAGCATTACTTTCACTCTATTCTCTTAGCAGGATCTCCAACTGTTCCCTATAAGCCTTACTTTCACTCTACTCTCTTAGCAGCATCTCTAACTGTTCCCCACAAGCCTTAATTTCACTCTACTCTCTTAGCAGCATCTCTAACTGTTCCCCATAAGCCTTAATTTCACTCTATTCTCTTAGCAGCATCTCCAACTGTTCCCCACACGCCTTACTTTCACTCTATTCTCTTAGCAGCATCTCCAACTGTTCCCTACAAGCCTTACTTTCACTCTATTCTCTTAGCAGCATCACCAATTGTTTCCTACAATCCTTACTTTCACTCTACTCTCTTAGCAGCATCACCAACTGTTCCCTATAAGCCTTACTTTCACTCTACTCTCTTAGCAGCAGCTCCAACTGTTCCCTACAAGCCTTACTTTCACTCTACTCTCTTAGCAGCATCACCAATTGTTTCCTACAAGCATTACTTTCACTCTACTCTCTTAGCAGCATCACCAACTGTTCCCTATAAGCCTAACTTTCACTCTATTCTCTTCGCCGCATCACCAACTGTTCCCACAAGCCTTACTTCCACTCTACTCTCTTAGCAGCATCTCCAACTGTTCCCTATAAGCCTTACTTCCACTCTATTCTCTTAGCAGCATCACCAACTGTTCCCTATAAGCCTAACTTTCACTCTACTCCCTTAGCAGCATCTCCAACTGTTCCCTATAAGCCTTACTTTCATTCTATTCTCTTAGCAGCATCTCCAACTGTTCCCTACAAGACTTACTTTCACTCTACTCTCTTAGCAGCATCTCCAACTGTTCCCTACAAGACTTACTTTCACTCTACTCTCTTAGCAGCATCACCAACTGTTCCCTATAAGCCTTACTTTCACTCTACTCTCTTAGCAGCAGCTCCAACTGTTCCCTACAAGCCTTACTTTCACTCTACTCTCTTAGCAGCATTACCAACTGTTCCCTATAAGCCTAACTTTCACTCTATTCTCTTAGCCGCATCACCAACTGTTCCCACAAGCCTTACTTCTACTCTACTCTCTTAGCAGCATCTCCAACTGTTCCCTATAAGCCTTACTTCCACTCTATTCTCTTAGCAGCATCACCAACTGTTCCCTATAAGCCTAACTTTCACTCTACTCCCTTAGCAGCATCTCCAACTGTTCCCTATAAGCCTTACTTTCATTCTATTCTCTTAGCAGCATCTCCAACTGTTCCCTACAAGACTTACTTTCACTCTACTCTCTTAGCAGCATCACCAATTGTTTCCTACAAGCATTACTTTCACTCTATTCTCTTAGCAGCAACACCAAATGTTCCCTATAAGCCTAACTTTCACTCTATTCTCTTAGCCGCACCACCAATTGTTCCCACAAGCCTTACTTTCATTCTATTCTCTTAGCAGCATCTCCAACTGTTCCCTACAAGACTTACTTTCACTCTACTCTCTTAGCAGCATCTCCAACTGTTCCCCACACGCCTTACTTTCACTCTACTCTCTTAGAAGCATCACCAACTGTTCCCTATAAGCCTAACTTTCACTCTATTCTCTTAGCCGCACCACCAATTGTTCCCACAAGCCTTACTTCCACTCTACTCTCTTAGCAGCATCTCCAACTGTTCCCCACACGCCTTACTTCCACTCTACTCTCTTAGCAGCATCTCCAACTGTTCCCCACACGCCTTACTTCCACTCTACTCTCTTAGCAGCATCTCCAACTGTTCCCCACACGCCTTACTTTCACTCTATTCTCTTAGCAGCATCACCAACTGTTCCCTACAAGCCTTACTTTCACTCTACTCTCTTAGCAGCAGCTCCAACTGTTCCCTACAAGCCTTACTTTCACTCTACTCTCTTAGCAGCATTTCTAACTGTTCCCCACAAGCCTTACTTTCACTCTATTCTCTTAGCAGCATCACCAATTGTTTCCTACAAGCATTACTTTCACTCTACTCTCTTAGAAGCATCACCAACTGTTCCCTATAAGCCTAACTTTCACTCTATTCTCTTAGCCGCATCACCAATTGTTCCCACAAGCCTTACTTCCACTCTACTCTCTTAGCAGCATCTCCAACTGTTCCCCACAAGCCTTACTTCCACTCTATTCTCTTAGCAGCATCACCAACTGTTCCCTACAAGCCTTACTTTCACTCTATTCTCTTAGCAGCATCACCAACTGTTCCCTATAAGCCTTACTTTCACTCTATTCTCTTAGCAGCATCTCCAACTGTTCCCTACAAACCTTACTTGCACTCTATTCTCTTAGCAGCATCTCCAACTGTTCCCTATAAGCCTAACTTTCACTCTATTCTCTTAGCAGCATCACCAACTGTTCCCTACAAGCCTTACTTTCACTCTATTCTCTTAGCAGCATCTCCAACTGTTCCCTACAAGCCTTACTTTCACTCTATTCTCTTAGCAGCATCTCCAACTGTTCCCTACAAGCCTTACTTTCACTCTATTCTCTTAGCAGCATCTCCAACTGTTCCCCACAAGCCTTACTTTCACTCTATTCTCTTAGCAGCATCTCCAACTGTTCCCTACAAGCCTTACTTTCACTCTACTCCCTTAGCAGCAGCTCCAACTGTTCCCCACAAGCCTTACTTTCACTCTATTCTCTTAGCAGCATCTCCAACTGTTCCCCACAAGCCTTACTTTCACTCTACTCCCTTAGCAGCATCATGCAAAAAAATATGAACTGAGAACAGAATGCACTGATAAAGAAGAGCAGTGATGTAGTTATTGCAATAGATAGGTAGAGAAGAGCAGTGATGAAATTAATGCATAAAAAGAGAAGAGACAAATTAGTGATGTAGCCGGTAAAGATGAGGTGCTGAAGGATGCAGCTTCTCTCACCTGCGTTGATCTTCTAGTTGCACGTTCTCTTCTGGCCCTGGATCTACGTTGTGTTTCAGACTCTGTGTCCTCTGTGGTAGGGGTCATATATGATGGCCTATAGATATTGATTAAAAAGTTTTTAACATTCCTGCTTTTTATTGATGAAATAAATCATAGTATTAGCAATACTGGATTCAAATAACAGGTCTGAAGAAAATTCATTTGTAGGATTAAAAGTCACTGTGAGAGGAAATTTGTATAATCAAATTAATGGCATGAAATGCATATGAAAATGTGTCTATATATACAAGTAAATCATTTTAATAGCACAAGTTGAAATATCTGCACAAAGCTACATATGTTCCGGAATATGAATATGCAAATTGTCGCAATCACTTTTTAAATGTAAGCCTATGGAAATTGTAACTCTTGAAGGAATTTATTTTGTTCAGCAATATATAACCTTAGACCTATGATCCACTATATAAGGGACACTGGATGAAAGGGAATACTACTATTAGTTGTTATTTGCACACTTTATTGGCAAATTATATTATGCAAACCAGTCAGTAAACTTCACACAATTATAACTAACAATCTAGAAAGCAAAAACACTTCTATGGACCTCTCGAAAAACCTCCCTCAGATCCTGTGTCTTCCTTGTTCAGCATTTCTTTTCACAGCAAATTTAACTTAACAGACTCAAAATAGAAACGTGATTACAGTGTAGCATTCCTTGGATTGACGAGAGCCGGTTTCAGCGAATTTATATTATATATTTCTTGTGTATTTGGGAATTTGAGTTAAAGCACCGTCATTTATCATTACAGTTCGGAAATGCATTACTTCATACTTCATAAGATGATATCCTATTTTGTCATCACTTTGTTCTACTACATTGAGTTATTCGTACTGTGTCTTAAGACTACATCACCATACTGTCCCTTCAGATTTTGCATCACCATGGCACGACTGCCTCTTCAGACTTCATAAGATGATATCCTATACTGTCATCATTTTATTCTACTATAATGAGCTAGTCTTTCCATGTCTTAAGACTGCATAACCCTACCATGACACCAAATTTGAATACCTTTTTGCAGTAAGTGTTGTCACAGTCTTGTCTCGGAAACTTCCTGTGAGCTTTTGCTTTTGCCTTAGCCTTTCCCTTTCCTTTTCGCGCTCTTTTTCTCTTTCTTTCTCACGCTCTTTTTCTCTTTCTTTCTCACGCTCTTTTTCTCTTTCTTTCTCAAGCTCTTTTTCTCGTTGCCGCTCTTGTTCCTTTTCTTTCTGCCTTTCCTGTTCTCTCTGTTTTTCTATTTCCCTCTCCCTTTCCCGTTCCCGCTCCTTTTCTTTTTCTCGTTCCTGTTCACGCTCTCGTTCCATGTCGGCCCACCTCCTTCTTGTGTAACTGTTAGAAAAGACACATGTAGTACGCAATGCAGCTGGTGGTTAGATGGGTAAGGCAGGTCATCCTATCAATTGCATATACCCATCAAATGGGATGCTTTGCAACAAGATTTAAGGATGATGTGAGTAGCATGGAAGCTTTGCAGCCAGTGAACACAGCATGCACACCCAATACAGCATCAATTTGATGAAAAAATTAGGATTTAAAATCATCTCTTTCACGACTATATTGATCTTATCAGGCTAAAACATAATTGTTCCTGGTCCTGAGATGTTCAAAACATAGTTAAACTCTGGTAACTTTGCAGGAGCATGTATTAAGGTAGAAGCCTATTCATGAATGCAAATATACAAAATTTATTTATTTTCCAATAAATTGTACCTCTGGGCATTATAAGGATAATGACCTAAAATAAGTTGTTTTTTTAGTGGCCATTATGATTTTACCACAGGTTCCTATGGCAGAGATATTATGCCATATCTTAAATTGCACGCTGGTGACATGAAGAAATTGTATATTGTGAATGATGGGTTGCTTATTGTTGTCCTGTAAATTATTTCGAAAAAATCCAGGTTTTAAAAAATGTTGTTTTTCATTAACATGGAACTGTTCTAAAAATTATTAGCGATTATTGAAAAAAATAGTTTCTCAAAAAATGTCACTGTAACACACAAAAGAATGCTACTTCATGATACCATGGGACAATATTTTGCATAATAAACGTAAGAACACCGTTATGCGATTTATGACAAAACTTTCTAAAAAATTATGAGTAGGCCTCTACCTTAAGACCTGAATAATGACATTTTGATAACATATGAGATGGATTATTTGCAATCCTATACCAATCATTCTATGAATTGTGTCTCATCAATGTGTACTTGTAATAATTTGTCTGTACTGATAAACAAGCAGCCTCTCGGCTGAGATAGCCCCGCTGTTAGCAATGCACATTTCAATTAAAGAACAGAAGATATCATTAGAAAATGAACAATATGTATAGTATCAATGCAATGGGACTTGCTGTTTTCAACAAGAATTCAAAAATATCATTTTTCACCATAAATGATTGTGGTTTTTAACAAGAAGAAAATATCACTTTTTACCAAAAAATGACAAAAATATTCACCAAAATTAGATAATTTAAGATATCATTACAAAATGAACAAATCTGAGAGAGGTCCACATGTAGTACCTATATATTTAATAATATCAAAGCAATTGGACTTGTCGTTTTTAACAAGAAGTCAAAAATATCACTTTTTACCAAAAATATTCACCAAAATTAGAGAATTGACGATATCATAACAAAATGAACAAATCTGAGAGTGGTCCACATGTGGAACCTATATATGTAATATCAAAGCAATTGGACTTGTGGTTTTTAACAAGAAGTCGAAAATATCACTTTTTACCAAAAATGACAAAAATATTCACTAAAATTAGAGAATTAAAGATATCATTACAAAATGAACAAATCTGAGACAGGTCCACATGTAGTACCTATATATGTATTATCAAAGGAATTGGATTTGCGGTTTTTAACAAGTCGAAAATATCACTTTTTACCAAAAATGACAAAAATATTCACCAAAATTAGAGAATTGAAGATATGATCATGAAATGAACAAATCTGAGAGAGGTCTACCCAAGGTACATATACACCAAGTATCAAAGCATTCAGGCTTGTAGTTTTCAAGAAGAAGTCGAAAAAGTAAAACATTGACACGGACGATGGACAATCACTCATATGATAAGCTCCGCTCGACAAAGTCGACAGCGGAGCTAAAAAACCTTCTTCAACCCCCTTCTTACTTTCATTTTCCAAGTATTTTGACAGAAACCAGAAACAAATCATTTTGTTTGCCTAAAATGAAATAGCTTTTTTTGCATACCATTATGAAGACATTTTAAATAGATTGGAGCAAGAGCCGAAGTAGAAATGATTTATTTTAGTTTTTTTAATAGGCTTTTACAGCTTTTATAATGTGAAATTGTCTCATATGCCGATGCAGTGTACTGTTGTTACAGATTTACCAACAGTAAACTTTAGTTTTAAATATTAGATAAGCATGCACAAGTAAGTACACATGCAATCATTTTATGCTAATGTTGTCAGAGTCTAACAGTAAATACTACTGTAATTATGTTACTGTATACATGTATTGATTTTAACTATAAAATGGGAGCAGTTTCTAAACGAACCATGGTCATTGTATCACTGGTCAATTTGGGACACATAAAAGCATTGTGGTGAACATGTTACAAGTCACTGCTGGGGACAAAAATGTCAAGCCCATTCTGGCCACTGTTTCGGGTTCTTCAGTTACTAAATGTATCACAATCTGCAGAACCGACATAAGCAAAAGATTGAATCGAACCACGTCAGACATCAGTCCTTGGCGCAAAGATTTACTAGTGCCAGTATATATCTGAAATGCTAGATATAAATAAAGCCCTGTCATGAGATAAACCTGGCACTTACCCAGACTCTGAATCACTTGTGCGCGTTTCCTCAGGCTGTAGAAACAGAAGAAATCAAAATTAGTAACAAAGGACGGTACAATATAATAACTACCTGGTGGCAAATGTAAAAGTTAGATGGATAAGAAGAGAAAAAGAGTTGCTATGAAACAAAGAAAAAGCTGAAGTTATTATGCATTTATTGCATTTAGTCAGTGGCTGGTTTATGGATTAGTGCTTTTCTTTTCTCACCTTTTTCCTGTCTGTCGTTGGCATTTGTGGGGCTGATGCAGAGCGGGGAATTCTCTCTTCGCTACGATTTGATTCGCTACTACTAGTCTTCCGGCCTTGCCTCCATGATGGTTGTTCATCTTTTTTCTCAGATTCTTGTTTTACAAGGGGTTTTGGCGTGAAGCTCGGTGCCTTTAGATTAATGATTACACAAATCAGCAATAAAACAAACATTACAAAACACCTTGCAAAATAAATTGAGTCAGCAAAATATAAAAATAAATAAAGAAATGAATAAATAAATAAATAGATAAAGTATTAGTTGTTTGCATTTACAAAAATATATACAGCCATATCAAGTAATGTTAAGAAGTGAGAACTTGAGTCAGAGCCTATAAAGGGAAAAAAGGCAAAAAAGCATGAATGAAAAAAATAGATTTATGTTTTAAATTACACACTCAAAAAAGAAGTTGCCTGTAAAAGAGTGATGAAGGGATTGACGCTATGTACCAGGATTTGTGAAGTACAATAAATTGAATAAATACACCATGTAATCAAAGTTCAAAGTTCAAATTGCTAAGGGGTGAATGTCAAAGTTCATGCTGATGCTAATGGCAGAATGCTTGCTGTAGTCATGACGATAGGGTCACCATTCTGGACAATAAACACTAGACGACATACAAAGAATGACAAATCACAGTTCAGGGTTAGTATTGACCAATACTAGATAAGCATTTCTTCCTTCGGTTTAAACCGTGACTCCGGGTGTATGGAATGGAATTATTCATAAACAACGTATTTGTATTTATTGCCATGTCCAGACTGAATTTGTATAATTTCTTATTTCATTTGCAGATTATCCTTCCAAGTGTTATACAAACGTATCATTCATGTGTCGCCGCTGATGAAAACGACGGGGAAAAAAACACTCAAAGTTGAACTATTTTCAGTCCATTGCCAGCAGAAAACAATTGCCTTATCATTGAACAAAATTCTAATGGTGTTTTACCATGAATGAGCTGTTTCATTACGCACAATAAAATAAAATAAACAAAATGACGACACTCATTGACCGGAAGTGCACTGTTTTCAAACTCTTAGGGTATATAGATAGAATCTTCCATACTCTTCTATATACACATTATCTATAGAGCTCACTTCTGTTGATACCCAGCCTGCTTCACTAGAAAGGGTACCGAGATCTAAAGATCTACTGAATATCATATCACTTGACATGAGTGTAAACTCCTAACTTCTGAGACTAACAAAGCAATTCATAGATGGATCCAGCGCATCAAAATTTCCCGAACACCACATATGCACTGTTTGAACTTTGAACTTTTGATGTCAAGTTTAGAGAATGACAACATTCTCACCTCTTTCCTCGATGGAGTTGTTGGTGGAACTGAAGGTTTATCCTTTTCATCATCTGAATCATCACTACTCGATTCTTTTTTATCCTGAGAAAAGTAAATACAAAATAATGAGTCACATGCTGTCAATGTGCGCTAAAAGTGGGTAGCGATTATTCTCAGTATGTTTGATTTATTTAACAGCTTTTGTTGTTTTGGAATATCTACCCTTTAATAAACTTTATTTTATGACAATAGTAAAATGGAAAACATTTAGGTTAAATGAGCTGCAAGTATGAACTATCAGACAATAGTTATTTTTTTTTTTAGTTTGACATATTGTAAACTCCAGTCAAGACAAAGTAAACAGTATAATTTTCATAACGCGATCTTACGAAAGTCAGCAACACTTACAGGACAACACAGAAATTGCTACAAAATTTTACGATTTGCATTGACTCTCGAAATTTTGTTTCTTGCAAATTAACGCATCAACAGTATTGGAAATGTTATAAGGATTGATACAACAATTGATGTGTTCTAAAGCGAAATGCAGTTGAGAGGGTATACAATACTTTAGTAACGGTAATCCCTGTAGTTATTGACACTGTATTTGATCAGCATTAATTAGAAATGATTAATTGTAGATATTTTGCTAGCTGTGATTGATTGAAGGTAGACAGGATATTCACAATGTAAGCTGTACATCACAAATCATACAATTTGAGCATAATCATATCACTTACCAGTTACAAAGCAGAGCAATGCAGATAGAGAAAATTGGAATGTAGTGCGGAGGATGCGTGAGGTACAGTTTTGCTATTTGTTTGGGGACAACCCGCTTTCCAGATTCATTTTGCATGTTGGACTATGTCAATGTTACTTCTAATCACCTACTGTAACTTACAGGAATACACGTTTTACACCATGTCATTAAAGACAAATGATATCTAACCCCATACACAATAGATTGTAGCATTCCATTCGTTTCAATCTTTTCACCACCAGTTCCCTCTTTTCATCACAAAATAGTAAAAACAGAAAATTAACTCAAATTTTGTCTGTTGGTTCCAAAATTAGGGCTCAATACCAAATATTGAAGAATATAAGAAAAAAGTGCAGACAAATTTGGGCGAAAAAGTCTGGTGGTTAAAAGGTCAAACAGACTACAACATTTCAAATTTTCCATAACAGTAAACCATTAAATTTTCGGTGCTAGAATTTTCATTTTACTGCATTCATTAAACATGAATAGCATGGGATAAGCTACAAAACTATGCAATTTTCAGGCTCGCAAAATTAAAGCAAGATTTTAAATCACATTCGAACACTCTTGTGTGCATCTAACAGGGAAACAATATAGCGCATGTCCGAAATAGAATCGCGTCATAAATTTTGTAAAATGTTTTTCACTGGCATTTTAGTCGGGTATATTTAACTGATTTATTACTACAAGAAAAATATAACACTGGACACCCTGGTGATCACTGTACAGCCATTCTGCATGATCTTATCCTACTATAATACACAACACAATATGTATGAGATGTCTATACAATGTGTTGAATATAGAAAGTTTATATTTTAGATCCTTCGATATTATTTTCGAATTTTTTGCTTTTCACCACAAAGCATCCAATACAAACATTTATTAAATGACAAATTCAGACAGAGATTAAGTAAAGTTGTTTTCTATTCTGATTCAAATCACTAACATGGAGAGTGAACTGAAAAGCGGGTGGAGACAAGCAACCATCAATTTCTTCCTTTAGAAAACACGATTTCACATGATCTTGACAGCTTGGCCTTGGCTAAAGCGTGCAAACCTAGGCGTTAAAATGATCTTGGCAATGATAACAGCCAGAAAATGAATAATGGCAGAAAATATGAAAATTAAACAGAGCAGTGCAAGAACCAGAGTCTGTGAAAGAAAGATTTTTTTATGAAAATAGAAAGAAAAGCAACAGAAAATAAATGTGCATAATGAATATAGTGGTTAGTATAGATGTTATAATGAACTATTTATGCAAATATATGCAGCAGTTGTTGATTTCAGGCAATTTAACATGAAGCAAAGTAAAGCTCTTCTACTGTCAGGACCACATGTCATCGGTGTCTGCATTTTACCAAATAAGACCTAGAAAGAAATCTTGTTGGAAGGTTAACAGCCAGCACTGTAGTGGTGAAGATTACTAAACCTCTACCTGATTACAGTCATATATGCATACTGATGAGATGCTAATTTATTGATATGCATATTCATGAGATGCAAATTGGAAAATCTGGTTTGATTTGATCAAACTTGATTGGCTGATTAAAATTAGCATATTCATCATATGCAAATTGACTCTAAGGTGATTGGATGAATGTGTAATATGTAAATAGAAGTTGCTGGGATGAAGAGTTCAACCATTTTTAAAATCTTGCTGGGCCTTACTGCTCTCTTGATAAGAACAAACCTTAATTATCTTTTCCACTTCTCTCCCTTTGTCCTTAGTAAGCACAGCAATAAAAAACAAAAGAAAATAGTCAAAAATACACACTTCAACACACAAAAAAGAAAAATGTGCTTGAAATCGAAGAAATGTCAAATATTCTAAATATATAAAATGCTAAGCATAAAAAAAGAGTGCAAGAAATGTGTGCTTGAATAAAAAATAGTGATTCAAGAAAATCTATAAAAATATAATAAAATAACCCTTTTTATAGTCTGATGTGAACAATAACTGAAGAATCTTAAAATATCTGCAGAAATTCAAAAAACAAAATGTTCTGAATTATCTCTGTTGGTGATTTAACTTTTTATTGTGTATGTTTTCAAACTACAAAAGGGTGAATGAGAAAGATGTGCAGAGAACCAAGGACAAAGAGAGACAGAAGAAAGAACTATACCACATATTTCCCACCAGAACTACCACAATAATCTCAGAAACAAACTCACCCAAACTTCAAATAAATGATAATCAAACTCAACCCTTTGCATGCCAATGTCAACTTTGACAAAATATTGATTTTTTTCTGAAATTTTTGCACAAATTTTATAAGGATCTGATATCAAGACATGAAAAATTATGTTCAAAATTAAGAAATACATAAATATGTTGCACTAGAGTATTGGTAGAAAATTAAGGCATTCACAGGGTTAACAAATAGTACCAGAATTTAATTGGTACTAGTGATTATTAACAACAGTTTTGTTATCAAAAAACAATGAAATAACAATGAGTTTTTTGCACACATTATTTTAGTCATTAAAACTGACAAGTTAAAGAAAATCATTTTTTTCTTTTTATCAGTTTTGGTGGGAAAGTGTAGGAAGCAAAAAAAAGTAAACATGCTATGTCTTTAATCATGCCATTATCTAGAGGTGGGTCAGCAAGTATAATATCCCCTTTTATACAAACAAAGTTGAGCATGGAATGCCTACTATGTTGTTAACAGGCTTCTTTGGGTCATCCTACAGGACAAAACACATACAGTACAAATTGTCTACAGTTAGTTACCACACATTAAGGGTTCAATAAATAGATTTGATTGTAAGAATAAAACATTGCAACTAGTGGGAATAATTGGCATTTAGGATAACATAAATACAGATGTGCAGAATCAATTGAGTGCCCAGTACCTATCACCAAACTCAGGAGTTCACCTCAAAATAGATCCCAGCTAAGAATTCATTTCAACTGGAGAATTCATTTAAAGACATATCCCATCTAAAGAGTTTATTGCATAATACCTCAACTGGAGAGTTCGCCTCGTAATACCTCTACTGGGGAGTTCGCCTCGTAGTACCTCTACTGGGGAGTTCGCCCCGCAATACCTCAATGAGGGGGTTCACCCCGTAATACCTCAATGAGGAGTTCACCCCATAATACCTCAATGAGGGAGTTCACCCCGTAATACCTCAATGAGGGGGTTCACCCCGTAATACCTCAATGAGGGAGTTCACCTCGTAATACCTCAATGAGGGAGTTCACCCCATAATACCTCAATGAGGGAGTTCACCCCATAATACCTCAATGAGGGAGTTCACCCCATAATACCTCAATGAGGGAGTTCACCCTGTAATACCTCAATGAGGGAGTTCACCCCGTAACAACTCAACTGTGGAGTTCACCTTTTACCACCTGAAACTTAGTGGTTCAACTAATGATCTTCCACCTGAGGAGTTAACCTCATATTGCCTCAACAAGGAATTTCGTCTCGTAACACCACAACTGGGGAGTTCGCCTCGTAACACCTCAACTGGGGAGTTCGTCTCGTAACACCTCAACTGGGGAGTTTGTCTCGTAACACCTCAACTGGGGAGTTCGTCTCGTAACACCTCAACTGGGGAGTTCGTCTCGTAACACCACAACTGGGGAGTTCGTCTCGAACACCTCAACTGGGGAGTTCGTCTCGAACACCTCAACTGGGGAGTTCGTCTCATAACACCACAACAGGAGAGTTCGTCTCGTAACACCACAACAGGAGAGTTCGTCTCATAACACCTCAACTGGGGAGTTCGTCTCGTAACACCACAACTGGGGAGTTCGTCTCGTAACACCTCAACTGGGGAGTTCGTCTCGTAACACCACAACAGCAGAGTTCGTCTCGTAACACCTCAACTGGGAAGTTTGTCTCGTAACACCTCAACTGGGGAGTTCGTCTCGTAACACCACAACTGGGGAGTTCGTCTCGTAACACCTCAACTGGGAAGTTTGTCTCGTAACACCTCAACTGGGGAGTTCGTCTCGTAACACCACAACTGGGGAGTTCATCTCATAAGACCACAACAGAAGAGTTCGTCTCGTAACACCTCAACTGGGAAGTTTGTCTCGTAACACCTCAACTGGGGAGTTCGTCTCGTAACACCTCAACTGAGGAGTTCGTCTCATAAGACCACAACAGGAGAGTTCGTCTCGTAACACCTCAACTGGG